ATTCCCCAAAATTCCACAAAAATCCCCCAAATCCCCCAAAAAAACCAAAATTTCCCAAAATTCCCCAAAATCCCCCAAAATTCCCCCAAATTCCCCAAAATTCCACAAAATTTCCCCAAAATTCCACAAAAATTCTCCCCAAAATTTGCCAAAATTCCCCAAAATTTCAAAAATTCCGCAAAATTCCGCCCAAAATTCACCAAAAAATCCATCCCCAAATTCCCCAAAATTCCCCCAAATTTCCCCAAAATTCCCCAAAAATTCTCCCCAAAATTTGCCAAAATTCCCCAAAATTTCAAAAATTCCGCAAAATTCCCCCCAAAATTTCCGCAAAATTCCCCAAAAATTCTCCAAAACTTCCCCCCAAAATTACACAAAATTCTCCAAAAATTCCCCCCCAAAATTCCCCCAAAATTCCCCAAAACTCCCCCAAAATTCCCCAAAATTCTCCCTAAAATTCTCCCCAAAATTTCCCCAAAATTTTCCCAAAATTCCCCCAAATTCCCCAAAAATCCCCCAAAATTCCCCCCAAATCTCCCAAATTCCCCAAATTCCAAAAATTCCCCAAAATTCTCCCTAAAATTCTCCCCAAAATTTAACAAAATTTCCCCGAATTCCCCCCAAAGCTGGACCGGGCTTGGTTAAAACTGAATTTAAACCCAAAAAGCCCAAAATTCACCCCAAAAATGAGCTTCAATCTCAAAAACCCCCAGATTTCCCTCAAAATTGCCCAAAATTGCCCAAACTTCACCCAAAATTGCCCAAAAATCACAAAACTTACCCCAAATCTTCTCAGGTGAGCCCAGCCCAGGTGAGGCTCTGTTAAATCCGAGTTTAAACCCAAAATCCCCAAAATTCAACCCAAAAATGAGCTTAAAGCTCAAAAAACCCAAAAAATTCCCAAAATTACCCAAAATTTAAGAAATTTCACCCAAAATTCCTCAGGTGAGCCCAGCCCAGGTGAAGCTCGGTTAAATCCGAGTTTAAACCCAAAAAGCCTAAAATTCACCCCAAAAATGAGCCTAAAGCGCAAAAATCCCCAAAATTACACAAAATTGCCCAAAATTTAAGAAATTTCACCCAAAAATGCCTCAGGTGAGCCCAGCCCAGGTGAGGCTTGGTTAAATCCGAGTTTAAATCCAAAATCCCCAAAATTCACCCCAAAAATGAGCTTAAAGGTCAAAAATCCCCAAAATTTGCCCAAAATTACCCAAAATTTAAGAAATTTCACCCAAAAATTCCTCAGGTGAGCACAGCCCAGGTGAGGCTTGGTTAAATCCGAGGTTAAACCCAAAATCCCCAAAATTCACCCCAAAAATGAGCTTAAAGGTCAAAAAATCCCAAAATTTGCCCAAAATTACCCAAAATTTAAGAAATTTCACCCAAAAATTCCTCAGGTGAGCCCAGCCCAGGTGAGGCTTGGTTAAATCCGAGTTTAAACTCAAAAAGCCCAAAATTCACCCCAAAAATGAGCCTAAAGCTCAAAAATCCCCAAAATTACACAAAATTGCCCAAAATTTAAGAAATTTCACCCAAAAATTCCTCAGGTGAGCCCAGCCCAGGTGAGGCTTGGTTAAATCCGAGTTTAAACCCAAAATCCCCAAAATTCAACCCAAAACTGAGCCTAAAGGTCAAAAAATCCCAAAATTTGCCCAAAATTGATGAAAAATATCCAAAATTGCCCAAAATTCAAGAAATTTCACCCAAAATTCCTCAGGTGAGCCCAGCCCAGGTGAGGCTCGGTTAAATCCGAGTTTAAACCCAAAAAGCCCAAAATTCACCCCAAAAATGAGCTTAAACTTCAAAAAAACCCAAATTTTCCCAAAATTACACAAAATTGCCCAAAATTTAAGAAATTTCACCCAAAATTCACAGGTGAGCCCAGCCCAGGTCAGGTTTTGTTAAATCTGAGTTTAAACCCAAAAAATCCAAAAATTCAGCCCAAAATTGATCTTAAATCTCAAAAAATCCCCAAATTTGCCCAGAATTGCTGAAAATTAACCAAAATTGCCCAAAATTTATGAAATTTAACCCAAAATTCCTCAGGTGAGTCCACCCAGGTGAGACTTTGTTAAATCCGAGTTTAAACCCAAAATCCCCAAAATTCAACCCAAAACCCAGAAAAAATCCCCAAATTTCCCAAAATTTACCCAAAATGACCAAAATCACCCCAAATTACCCAAAATTTAAGAAATTTAACCCAAAACACCTCAGGTGAGTCCAGCCCAGGTGAGGCTTGGTTAAATCCGAGTTTAAACCCAAAATCCCCAAAATTCACCCCAAAATTGAGCCTAAAGCTCAAAAAAATCACAAAATTTCCCAAAATTGTCCCAAAATCCCCAAAATTCACCCCAAAACTTCGCCTAAAGCTCAAACCCCCCCAAATTCACCCAAAATGGCCCCAAAATTGCTCAATTTCTCCCCAAAAATCACCACAAAATTGCCCCAAAATTGCCCAAAATCCCCAAAATTCACCCCAAAACTGAGCCTAAAGCTCAAAAAACCCACAAATTTGCCCAAAATCACCAAAAATCGCCCCAAAATTACCCAAAATTTGTCCAAAACTGACCCAAAATTGCCCCAAATCACCCCAAAATTGCTCAAAATTGCCAAACATTGCCCCAAAATCCCCCAAAATTGCTGAAAATCGCTCAAATTGTTCCAAAATCACTCAAAATTGCCCAAAA